GGGATGGGAGTGTCAGAGACAGTGCAATTGGCACAGGACAGAGCAGAGTTTAGGGCTGTTGTACATAGGGTCCCTATGATTCGTGAGCGACTCAATGGCACATAACACCAACTTTTAGTTTCATACCACATTTATGCTGTGATTACTTTTGTTCGTGTTGTCAAGTTCTGCTGAGTTGGAGTCAACTCATACATGACCCTCCAGTGGGTTTTCAGGACAAGTAGATTGCCCTGGAGGAGATGGTCCAACCTGCTCCCTCAGATCCCTCACAAATGGTAGAATCCAAGAGGCTCACATGGAAATGGCAGTGTAGCTCCTTACCACAAGACCACCATAATGGCCAGTTATGTTATAGGAACACAAGCAGAAAACACTAAGAACTGGTTTTTTCAAAGGCAGAATCAATCGTGCAGAGCTAATAGAGATGACAAGGGAGGAAAATGAGAGGTGTGAGGCCCTGAATCTTCTAAACATAACTTTCTGACAAATATATTAAAACATTCTCAATAATTCTCTGTCTTCCTAGAGATCCATATAGACACATAATAAAGATACACTCCCCTCCTTTTTTTCTCATTCTTGGTTCGCCATAAATTAATAGGTTACAGAGAAATCGAGAAAATAAAAATAAAAGTGGAGCATGACTATTCATGATGGAGATGTCATTAAGGAAAAGTAAGTTTGTGTATTGAACAACAGCAACAATAACAAAAATGCCACAAAACAAACATTTTGAAAACCCCCTGCAGCTACTTATTGAGTCAGACATCCATCACAAACACTCAGCCAAAAAATACTTTTATAAATGATAGAAAACAGGTATTGCTCAGTTGATAATGCCACCAGTTGTTTCACAGGAGAAATAATCTCCTCCCCTGGGATGTCCTCCTTTTAAAAAATCTGCTGGGGGCTCAGTTATAGGTTTTTTGCATATGACTCGATAGTATGGCAACAAACAGCAAGCCCCATTCTAGCCAATGGCAACTCCTAGGAACATGTATCAACATTGCAAGTTCAGGTTCAGTGTGCTCAGTCAAAGCTCTACTGGCACCTGATTCAGACAACATGAAGATACAGACACACATCCTGGCATTTGCCAGATACTTGCTCACTACAGAAACTCTGCTCATCCCACCAGGGACCAGTCTGTCATGGTTGTTGTATTTGTGTGCTGTGGAATCAGAATGAAATCAGAGCTGAGCTTCCAGCAGGTGTTTAGAGACTGGAAACGGCCTGTCTTTCTCTCTTGGAGCAGCGTCTGGATTGCAATTGTCCACCTTTGGGATGGCAGAGCTTCAGAAGCCTAATAGGCAAGAAGCTTTCAAACATGTTTTCCTTTTGCAAACATTGTTTCAAAATATCATTTTTTTCTTGGCCTTTTGCTTAGAAAGCATCTCCCTTTGCAGCAGTTTGATGTGCAATGGCAGGAATTCAGCCTCCCAACAACTAGTTCTAGATGATGGTGATATCTCAAATAGCACACATGTGCCTGGGATCATCTCAGTGGGCCAGCACATGTGTGTCACTCCAGAGAACTGACCTGGATTCTTCCCTCTGGCAGACCTGTTCTTCTAGCCAGGTCTTCTTTGACAGAAATCCCAGGGAATCGATTCCTTCCAAAAGCTTGCAGAAGAATGTTGGCCTGAGATTTTGATAATTGCTCTTTCTGCTGGCTTCTCTGTGAACGTTTTCTAATGGAGAAAAGACAAAGGAGGAAAGAGGGCTGTTGGAACCATTTCCACATTCAAGTCTCAATGGCAACATTGTTCCAGAAGAACTGATCCACCAGTCCAGTCTTGGGGAAAAGAACCTCAGTTAAAGTAGATGATGCTGGTGCAATTTCCTGCATCAGGGATGATGCTGGTGCAATTTCCTGCATCAGGAACACCAGAAATTCCAAAGGATTTCCTGATGAAAAAGTGCCTAGGTAGTACCAAGAAATAGCAGGTTGTCCTCCTGCTCTTTGCCGAGAATTGGGCACAGTCCCAGAGCCGAGAATTGGGCACAGTCCCAGAGTCATTTCCCCAACAAGTATGCCTTTCCAGGTCATGTTGGGACTCCTCATTACTCACCTGGAGTTCCACATGGAGGCTTTTCCTGGCCCTGGACTCTCTCTCCTAATGGGTCTTCAGAAGACAGCCTTCTTTTCCTTAGCAAGAACCTTCTGTGGTTTTTGAAACAAACCTAAATAAGAAAAGATGTGATTGTGCTGCAGCTCAATATAAAAATAGCAAGTGGTATTTACAAATAAAAAAAAGATCCACTTGCCTAACTTTGTGTGAACAGCACCATGATTAACACTTGCCACTAAAGCTCCCTGTTGTAGCAGTAGTGATTTTTATATATGTTCTTGAGTCCCATGTCCAATGACACTCTATCTTTGCTCTAAAGACTCTCACCTCAGTGTTCTAGACTGTCCAAAATCTGTGCTTTGTTTCCCTCCTTGGAGGCACATATGGAGCTGCTAATGGGAAGGTCATCAGTTTGAAAATGAGGGGGAAAGACCCAACTATCTTCTCCAGCTGCGGTTTACAACTCAGCAACCTGATGGAGGTTTGCCATCCTTGCCTTGGATTTGCTGCAATGTCTATGACTTTAAGGCAAGAAGGAGCCTGTCCCCTCCTTTCTCCAGAAACTTACACAAACACAGTGTCTTCTCACTAAATGGAAACTAACTTTACATTTCAGTATTAATATGAAGTAACCTACCAGGAAAATGCTTCTGATCGGAAGAGCTGACATAAAGGGATCATACAAAAGGGATAAATCTAATTTTCTTCTGCACACTGACTCACAGAGAATTAATAGAGGCTCATGCCTACCTGCACTCTGTCCTCTGGAATCCCAATTTCTTTGGGCAGTCTTTGGTGGTTATGCCAGGGTAGGGATTCTCTTGTAATGCTGCCTGCAAGGTGTCCCTCTGACTAGGCATGAAGATGACCTTCTTTCTTTGTTGTCCTCTTTGTTTGGAACCTGATTGAAACAAAAGGGTGGGGCAGAGGTGAAGGACTTGATTCTGGGTGAAAGTGATAAGGTCAAGCAGCCATAGGATTTCTAGGCAGAAAACATTTCAAATGATGACTATATTGCTTTACCTAAGGTATAGTTCCAATTTTATGCTTATTAGCCTCAACTGGAAAGGGAAAATAGAAAGCATGATGGTCAAGGTACCTATCCAACAAAAAATTTCCGTATATCATGAGACGACAAATATACTCCATTTTATGTAGCACTCACTCCATTTGAGTAAACAAACCCTGCTTGTAGAAAATTTCTGCCCTGAGCCCTAAAGTTTTGTCTTGACACATTTTCCAAAATAGTAATTACTATTGTTTATGGTCAACATAAATTGTTTATGGTCAAGAAATTTTTTGTTGGATAGGTACCTTGACCATCATGCTTTCTATTTTCCCTTTCCAGTTGAGGCTAATAAGCATAAAATTGGAACTATACCTTAGGTAAAGGAATATAG